AAAAAAAAAAAAAAAAAAAAAAAAAAAAAAACGGTAATATAATTCGAGGTGTCACCAAATTATCAAAAATTAATAACAGACCTTGCTCAAGCAGTCTGAGGAAACTAAGTACTGTTTGACGAGATACAGCAAATACTTCCGCGTAGGTTGGTGAAACTAGTGAAGAAAACAACTGGTGAACAAACTCTGCAGAGAGGCAGCAGTCTAACAGATCGTTCAGCCTCTTTTCTAGAATTTTGCAAATTACAGCAGAAATCAGCTATTTAAATAAAAATAAAATAGAAGCAAAAAGTTTAGAAGAAAATCTTAATAACACTAGCTACATACTCAGCAATAATTATTTATTTGGCATCTAAAAATAGCAAAGAACCTGAAGTTTCTAAAACAAGTCCAAATAGTGCCCGTATGTGTTGACTGAGGCTCTTTAAAACTTTTGGGTTCACAGAAGAGTTGAAAAGTGTGATGTCAATAATCAAACGAGGTATAAGTCCAAGTGATAATTCAGCTTTGAACAATGTATCCAAAAAGCAATTGTGTAAACCCAAACGGACTTTTCCAAGTTCTTCCTCTACAACGTCTATAAACTGATAGAACTGCTCTGCCGAAGAAGAAGAAGAATCCGACAAAAGATTTTCCACCAGCTAAAACCAACAATTCTGGAAAAAAAACAAAATCTGAAAGAGTGTTAGTGGAAAAAAATTATGCACCCGTCGGATAAAATGAGCACAGAACACGTCCTTGAGCTGTTTGGTGCCCTCGCTGGTACTGGATGCCAATTGTAGCTTCTGCGGAACAGTTGAAAAGGTCGACTTTGAAACAGGCACTGTACCAATAGAAAATTCCGGTTCGAAGCAGGCACTTAGAGATGTACGAGCCTTAATCAAAGTTTTTAATACTATCCGATGTACGTAGAGATTTAACGCTACAGCTTCGCAACCACAATCGGCCAAATACAGCTTACAGAATAACTCCTAAAAAATTTTTTCCTTGATTAGTTTTGACAAGATGTCATAAACGAAAATAATTGTGTAGAATGACCTTATTCACACAAGAATCCGGATGACTGGAATCAAATTTACTGCTAGCTTTATGCAGCAAACGATCAAGAGAAGCAAGTGTGATTGCTGTCGGGGTAACACTTATAGACATCAGTAGATAAAATACTGAAAAAGATCTGATGAGTAATTCAAAAGAAAAATCAAACATAACCAATGCTCAGTTCAACCAATCAATCGAGAAAAATTTGTCTCCTTGACAAAACACTCAAATGCATCTTCCCCCACTGAAAAAAAAACTTAGAACTCCGATTACCATGGGCAAAGGCCGCCTTCTAACGACATGCAGAAATCGTCCAAATGAATTTTCGTTCGTCCCAACTCGACTTATAAACTTAACGCACAAAAGATTACTGAAACAATGACGATGAATACCGCATAAAATTTTCTCTTCCTGAACGCGGTAAAATCTGACCACTCTGGCCATGAAGTAGAAGTGTAAAAAAAACTAAGTTACCCACACCCGAGTGAAAAAGAATAAAGCAAAACTGCCCCACGTACGACAACTGCTCTTCCGACTACCAAGTAATGCTCTTCAAAATGATTATTCCCAAAAACACACTAAAACATACTCAAAGAAAAAAAAAAAAACTAACCACTTCCGCAACTCAAGTGCCACACCTGCACAAAAAATCGTAAACGCCGTCATCCGGTACATGCAGCGGATGACGACGAAACACTCAATTTACGAAAATATCTGACGAGTTAGAAAAGCCTTCTCACGCCGGTCGCATTGCAACCACAGTCACCACACCACTTTCAGAAATTAAACTTTATTTGACTACGTTACAAGCATAGGAAAAAACTTTAAAACTGGTGAAAAAAGCAACTTCCGAATCGAAGTCTATACTCCAGGGACGTGGCTAACAAATAATCCGAGTCATGAGAAATACTTCCTTAACAACCCATATATAAGGCAAACTGTGAAAATAGAAGTAAAAACAAAATTTATGCCCTTTGACACAGCCAACAGCAAAACTGTACAAAGAATTTTACATATTGCCCAAAAATTTTCTTCCAATAATGTTTTTGCAAAACACAAATTATAAACACGATAAGCACAATAAAACAAACAACACACAATAAAAGGTGCTTTCCGTCCTGAATTTTTCTCAAAAAACTGCCGCTTCCTTTCACCTTTCAATGACGCCCTTTTAACTAAGCAAGCAAAAAAGCCCAGTTTTGTCTGAATTAAAAAAGAAAGACCAAATCACAATTCTTAGAGCAGCACCGTAGCATTGTTTTCAGGTAGTTCACAAACTAGAACATAATTTTACGGGAATTCTGATATTTGTAAAATCAACAAAACAGAACTGTTACGAATCTACAAGGTAAAGTCACTCGCTGCAATTCATCAGAAAAATCAAAAATTTCATTCCATTTTACGTAAAGACTCAAGAACACCTCAAAATACAGAGACGAAAAGATTACACATAAAAATTATACGTATAAATGACTACGAAACACTCGTTGTATACCGCTACCTCAGTTTACTGACCCGTTGGTAAAGCGCATCCACAACCTGAAATTAAAATTCGCCATATTTTGATTGAAGCAGTTCCAGCTACACAATAATGTCAATGAGATAGGTATAACAAAACGTCGAAAACTCTCACTTCACCCATTGCGCGTATTGTATCGACAGCAGCTCGGTATGTCATGTCAACTGGGGCTACATCATAAACAATAAGCATACCATCACCCTGGTGTAAACTTCCTTAAAAAAACAATGGAATCTAATGAAACTTTACAGAATGTTTCTAAAAAAATATGAAAAACTTTCAAGTAAACCAAAAATTTAATGCATTTGTGTAGATAAAATCACGGAAGAAAAACTATCCAAAACAGACCAATCACGTAAAGCAGTCATATGACGTTCGTAAACGGAAACCTAATTTAATACAGGAAAAAAAATATATGAAAAACTAACCGGAAAACTTCTTGTCTAAAATCATTTGGGAAAGCTTCTTTTCCACTTTATCTCTGTCCAAACCAATTTTTGAAGCAATGTGATCAATTTGAACGTATGAATATGGTTCAATAATGCGACACAAATCCTTCTCAAGCATGCTATCACTTAATGAATTAAAGTGTTTCTTGACTACAGCATCGCACTGCAGTTCCTGACGAAAACTTCCAAAAGACTATAAATACAAAATAAACTTATGAAGCCTTTCTACGACACAGCTTTAAAAATGTTTACAACAACCTTCCAAAAAACTTGAAAAATCATTTTCACAGTCAAAATCACAGGTCAATAACCTGGTTGAAATCTGCTAAAGATCGCTTTTTCGCTGCTTCAGCGATTGCTTTCATTGCCTCAAGGTCCGATCCGCTGTACTTCAAAGCAAGCTTCCCCGATAAAATAACCCCAACTTCTTCAGGCGTATCTAACATTACCTTAACACACAAAATAGATTCTGTTACGTAATCATTCATATAACCTTCTGAATCAAAAAATACCACCAAAAAAATCATTACAAAAAAACAAGATGAAAGAAAAACAAACTTTGCTCAGCAGCATGTATTTTAAAGCTCTCATAGCCTCCTTTTTATCGTTCACTGCGTCGTACCCTTCAAAAGCCTCATAGAAATAAGAAAAAGCAGTTTTGAAATCTCGTTCGTCAGCAGCGTGTAGAATACCTGACTGCATGTCTAATGCAGCCTGCATACGAGGAGGACAGTAAATAGAATTAGCAGTAGTGCGTGCTGAAGTTAATGCAGCTCGGGCCTAAAAATAATGATAAAAAAAATTCCCTCCACTTCCACTGTAAGCTGAAACAACTAGTGAAATAAAAAGAATTTTACAATTATTTCGCACGCTAACAAACGAGTAATACCTTTGAAAGGTTTCCGAGGTGATAACACGCTTTACTCTCCTCCAGCTGAACCTCGACAATCACATCCTTGTCATCAACTTTCTTTAGCTCACGCACTAGTTGATTCGCTGAAAAATGCTATGATTTTCCGGAAAACAACGGCTACACAAGATGAGCTGAGTAATACAAACCTAGCTGCTGTGCTAGTTGGTAACGACGTAAATCATTGTAGAGACGGACAAGTCTTGCTTGCAGGGTTTGTCTCAAAAATGAACGATTCTGCTCAGTTGCCCACTGAATGCATTCCTTACAAAGCTCAACCTAAACACATCAACTAACAGTGTGCGAAAAGATGATAAAACAAAAGTTGCACACTTAAAAACTCCACACCATTAATACTAGTCAACAATCAAACCTAACTAAAGAACAGCCCGTGTAACGACTGGCAGGACTCGTGTTAATAAACACGGTAAAACCTATGACTCACCTTGATATCCCCATCTTGGTCGTCGATCATGAGGCATAAATCCAACAAATTACGAACCAGTTTTGCCGCTTTAGCCTTTCCAAGCGATACAAGAAAAGGTCTGGTATTCTCAATCATATTACGCAACTCTTGTGTCTGTTTGTTTCTAGCTAGCATGTTCCCCAACTCCATTATCGATTCCTCTTTCTTCTTAATTTCTGCTTCGTTACTTGCTGGAGTTTTAACTGCAAAGTGAGAGCAAATTAAAGTGCAGCGTCTCAAGGCATTTAAATAAGCAAAGATGACAACTCAACTGCTAAATGCCTCACTAAAAAATGATGTCTCTTACGAACCTATATCTCCAAACATGCTTTGGGCAAGGTGGGTACAAGAAAACATAGAAGTATAAGAAAGAAAAGTTATATTATAGAAAAGCCCCAATCTAAAACGAACAAGAATACAGATACCAACAAAAAATTGCTTTTTTTTTTTAAATATTGAAAAAAAACTCGCTGGAAAAATTAAGATTTCAAATGGACTTGAAAAGAGCTTTTTTTTTAACCACACTCTGTATTGTGTATTAAAGTAACTACCAACTTAAAAAAATAAAAAATCCTTCTTTTTTCAATTCTTTTTTTTACTAAACAGCGAACAGAAAAATATTCACTATTACCAGTAAGGCCCCTCATATAGATGGTAGCTTTTATAGTATGACTATGCAGTAAAACGGAGTGGCAAAAACGAGAGAC